GGTCTCAACTCACTCTGTAGTTAAGACTGACTTGGAACTCACTGTGTAGCCCAGGCTGGCCTCGAACTCACAGTGATCCGCCTGCCTCAGCCTGCCGAGTGTTGGGATTACAGGCATGCGCCACCACGCCGGCTGTATTTTTGGTATTTAAATTATTGTGGAAATTTATAAATGTCTCCGATTTTTATTTGCTTGCACCATGTTTATTCATGAGTGTGAATCCCAGTGGGTTTCTCTGGGATAATACAATTTGCTTTAATCACTATTTCCAAGAAAAAGTTGCAGCAAGAGTGGTCTAACATGTATTTTACATGAACGAGTTGGGGTTTTATTTCAGGACCTATATGAGAAAACTATGTTTTACTACCTAGCTCTCCCTAACCATAACCCTTACCTGTAGACATAGGAACATAATAAGTTAGATCTATCTCTGATCCTCCTTTGTCGTGGTCAAGCAACATTTTGAAACCTGTGTTCGGTTTGTGCAGAATGAGGGGCAGAGGAGGCAACTGGTGGATGTGGAATCCCATCCTGAGAAACTACTGAAATCACCAGGACAGGACAAGGGCAAGCCAGAAGGCGCATTTTTTTTAGATAGATAATTCATTTTTCAGTCAGATTTCCTTTGAAGACATCTAGCAGCTTTCTTGTTGTATAATCTTCATTTTCTATTTCTGATTGGTTGGGATGTAGCCCAGTGGTAAGACACTCTCTCCTAGCATGCAGGATGGCATGAGTTCAATCCCCAGTACCACAAAATTAAAACAAGTAGGAAAACTCTGGTTTGGAATTAGTTACTGTTTGCCTGAACCATGGAGCTGCTTTGGCAAGTGGGAGTAATGTAATACCCCTGGTCAGCTCATGCATTCACAGAATTCTTGTATTCTTTAATTGCCAACAGGAAGAATTGAAGAGAGACCTGAAAATAAAGAAAGAAAAGGACATGGCACAGGTGGTACAGGCCAGTGCTGTGACAGCACCTTCTCCCCCTCTGGCTGCAGCAGTGCCCCCTCCAGCCCCTCCACCTTCACCCCCCTCCATGCCTGCTCTGCAGCACTCGGGACTCCCCACGTCCCCAGTACCTGCCGCTTCCCAGAAGAGGAAGCGAGAAGAGGAGAAAGACTCCAGCTCAAAGTCCAAGAAGAAGAAAATGATCTCCACTACCTCAAAGGAAACTAAGAAGGACACAAAGCTTTACTGTATTTGTAAAACGCCTTATGATGAATCTAAGTGAGTAGATCTTTTTGAGCTCTAGTTTATTTTTAAGATTAGCTGTTACATTGACACTTTTGAAAAAATGAGCATATTGATAATGATATAAATGAAAATAACTTAGTTTGAGGATGATAATGTTTAATTTCTGGTCTTGCATCTCATATTTTTAACCTTGGTAGCAGTGAATTAAAATTTGCTATTTCATGAGTTCATGAGTCTTGTGTGTCCTCCATTATAATCTTTTCTGTCAAAAACAAGCTTTCTGTTGCTCTTTTGCTTTCTTCTGTTCTCTCTGGATCAACTCCAAGTCGATCACTAATGCTGACTGGAGAAGGTGGTGTGTTACTCTTGAAGCCCAGAGTTGAGAGTTTCTTTTCTGGGATCTCTAGATCCTAGAATCTGAATATGTATGGTACAAGAGCCTTCAAACTGGATTGGTTCTGGGTGGTTTGATAGTGGTTTTTTGCTTTTTGGGGTTTTTTGGGGTTTTTTTTGCTATTTTTTTTTTTTTTTTGTATTGAAGTATTGCAAACTAATATTTTTGTCAGCATTCCCACTCTTGGTGACAAAAACCAGAAAAATACAAAAAAAAAAGTTTCTTCTACCCATTCTCCAACTACAAAACTCAAAAATTTGATAAGCATGGCAGCTGGAAACTGTTTTTGACAATTGTGACTTGTATTTGTGATATAAACAAGATTTTCATGACAGTCCATAAATGTAGGGTGTATTTTTGTTGTTTATTTATTTATTTATTTAGGTCATCACTATCCTTGAACTAAGTATTTAACTTTAAATTTGAACATTAAGATGTAGGTCAGCTTTTTAAAGCCATCTTAACCAAGTATTTTCTGTACTACTGAAAAGTTTATTTAATAGATTGTGTTGATTTTTTTTAAATGATCTTTTAGATTTTGGAATGCCTAATGTCTATTTAAATGAATGCCTAATTGATGCAAAAAATAAAATTGTAATCTCTTTAGTGATATTTAAGTGACAACATTGAAACTGCCCTGTATAGCTTGTTTGCAAATGTCAGATGAAAACTTTTTGTTGATAGGTTCACCTGTCTGTTGAACACAGATCAATTTAGCCATCTTCATTACTTTTCATTGTCTTATCTCATTAAAAATTATACATAATATAAAAAGTGGAACCCTATTAACCAATTTTTCCGTTAGTCTATTACAAGTGTGCCTCACTTTAAGCAAAACATAATGATTGCTGAAACAGAAGTTACTCTTCTTTATGAAAAGATCTGCTTGCGGGGAGTGGTGGTGCACACCTGTAATCCCAGCACTTGGGAGGCTGAGGCAGGAGGATCGCTGTGAGTTTGAGACCAGCCTGGGCTACATAGTGAGTTCCAGGTCAGTCTCAACTACATAGTGAGACCCTGTCTCCAAAAAACAAAAATAAATAAATAAAT